TCTCAACTCAACAATACCCAAGTGTTAGAATTCCAGTTACAATTCTTGGAGAGAGGTAAAACTGTTCTCTTTCTCTAGAAAGTATTAAATTTCAGATTTGGGGTTTCATTTGTTTGTGTTTTTTTTTGTTGGGAACAAAGAAAATTGTGGGGTTTGAATAGAAAATATCTTTTAGTTCTTATTTTTTCAGTTTGGGGTGTATTTAAGGGTAGTTTGGGAAGATAGTGGGGTTTTCTTAGAAATTGTAAAAATTTAAACTAAAAATTGGGGTGAACTTAGAACATGGGGTGAACTAAGAGAACTGTGGGGTTTAAATAGAAAATCTCTTATTATTTTACCTTATCTGATTACTTTTTTTAAAGTATGCAAGACATTATTATCTCCTCTATTAAACAATTGTAATCATATAAAAGAAATCAATGACCTTACGTTTAATTAATACTAGCTTCTCCACACGCGCTTCTGCGCCTGACGAGACTTTTTTAAAAAAAAATTAAAATTTATGTAAGAATTAAATAAGATAATGGGTAGTTGTGTTCCATAAAAATATTATCCATTATCTGATTTTTCTTTTTATTATTATTTTTTAATATGAAAAAGTGTGAATTTACCATATTATCCTCCTTTAATTAATAATTTCAATTCTTAATATTTGCATTAACCAATGTCATTTTCTGGTACTTTGAATGTTGTCCCATTCTCTGCCTTTTGCTTTATATTGAGAGAAAAGTGAGTGGGGAAATCACCACTCTTAATTAATACTAGCTTCTCCACACGCGTTTCTGCGCCTGACGATACTTTTTTAAAAAAAATTAAAATTTATTTAAGAATTAAATAAGATAATGGGCAGTTGTGTTCCATAAAAATAGGATCCATTATCTGATTTTTCTTTTAATTTTATTTTTAATATGAAAAAGTGTGAATTTACCATATTATCATCCTTTAATTAATAATTTCAATTCTTAATATTTGCATTAACCAAGGGCATTTTCTAGTATTTTAAATGTTGTCCCATTCTCTGCCTTTTGCTTTATATATATATATATATATATATATAAATTTAACAAAAGTTGTTATGCCCTGAATTCGATTTGTTTGGTAGGTCCAATAATGTTCAACTACGCAAATTCTAGTGGGAACGAGCCAACGCTTGTGTTGAATCCATACTCATGGACAAAGATAAACCTACTACTTAATCTGCACTTAATTTGTCAAGAACTTTACCCAAATGCATTGGACGATGTTCAGGTTGCCACCATAATATTTTTGGATCAACCAGTTGCTAGTGGATTCTCCTATGCAAAAAGTTGGGAAGGATACGAGACCGGTGATATATCATCCGCAGCTCATACCTATGAATTTCTAAGGAAGGTGAAAATTGGTTAAAGTAATTAAAATTATATATTAAATCTCATTAATTAATTAATTTTATATATATATATATATATATATATATATGTTGGTGTGCTGCAGTGGCTTAAAGATCATCCTGAATTTCTGAAAAATGCACTGTACATTGCTGCTGGTGATTCATATTCAGGCATAACTGTTCCCATCATTGTTCAGGAAGTGTCCAACGGTAACTTTTTGTTGGGGATGAAGACTTCTTCAACTATTTCACTAAACTTATTTAATTAAATTATGAGGCAACTCTTTTTTCTAAATCTATACTGTTCTAGGCAATGAAGTCGGGCATGAACCACCGTTGAATCTCAAAGTAAGAATTAATTCAATCGGATTTTAAACTTGTTTGATTTTAGTCCTTCTCCTTTTGTTCGTGCCTCATCGTTTGTGCTCTCTGTTTGGTCTTTGGGCTACTTTGAACTCAGGGTTACGTGCTAGGCAACCCATATACAGAACCAACATATGACGTGAATTCACGAATTAAATTTGCTCACCGCATGGCACTTATTTCCGATAAACTCTATGAGGTATAAATGCTCTCTAGTGACTTTTTTATTTATTTAGAAAAAGCGATAGTAATTATTGATGAAACATAAAACTAGAAAAGAAAAGGAGAGTGTAAAATGACAGTGTGAAAATTACTTCCTTGATTTTCCTAAACTCTGTGAATAAAGAAAATTGAGAGTTGAATGAATGTGTAAAATGCTTAGCGGCTCACTACAACTAACACCGATATTGTCCCTAACTTAACTATCTACAAACCTTAATAGGTGTGGAATTCACATTCTTCAATAAGTGTGTTTGTGTGTGTTTTTGGGTCTTCACTAAGACCGAGCAAATTGCATCTCAGTGTGTATAATTTTTGTGCAAATGACCGAGCAAAACACTGAAATAATGTCTGTTATTATTGGGCAATAATTTGAGACCTAATCTCTTCGCATTATATATAGTCAACTAAAACAAATTGCAAGGGCGAGTATGTTCAAGTAGATCCGAGCAATGCACCTTGTGTGGAAAACCTCCAAGAAGTCACTGAGGTGAGAATTACTAATTTACGACATTGTTTTTAGTTCACATTTATTTTCAAACTTTGAACTGAAGATCCATTTGCCACTCTAACAAATTTGCAGTGCACCCAGAAGATATATTATAACCAAATATTGGAGCCAAAGTGTAGCACTATGTCTCCAAACCCAAAAATATTCAAATGGGATCAAAACTTCGATGGTGAGAACTTCTTAGACGTGCTACATCACTCTACAGAACCATGGTGTCGTGTAAATATATATATATATATATATATATCTCTCTCTCTCTCAGAGACAATACATACCCTTATAAATTTAGGTCAAATCACTTATTTTTGGTTCTTATGGTTTGACTCGTTTTTAACTTAGATTTGAGAATTTACTCCTATAATTCAGTTTGGTTAGCAATCAAGTGTAGAACTCTGAATAGTTACGTTTTCTGTCGATTGCAAATGTTTTGGAGAGACGAAAATGCCCTCAAATGTGGAAGTTGCCTGTTGCCCTGCCAGAATTTCATTTACAAAAGTTTACATTTTGGACTTGATTACAAACCAAACAAAATTACAAAACTGAAATCGCCAAAATTTTCATGATATACACCAAATTTTCATGAAATCGTCAAATTATAGAGACTTTATACTTACTGTGTGGCACCTTACTACCCTTACTTCTTTGCAGACTTATAACTATCTGTTCTCCTTCATATGGGCTAATGATAAAACAGTCCAAAATGCTCTTCACGTTCCAGAGGTAAGTATTAATTTTGAGAATTACAATACCCACATAAAATATTCACACTTTTATTTACCATTACAATGTGCAGGGAACAATAAAGGGTTGGGAAAAATGCAATCAGAGCATATCTAGCAATTATGCACATGATGCTAGAACTAGTATTCACTATCATCGAAACCTCACCAAGAAAAAAACCTTAGAGCACTGGTTTACAGGTTACAATTTTCTTAATTTTCTCCATTTCCATCCTTAAAAAACCACAAACGTTTGTGCAAATAAATAGATGAATAATTCCTCTGTCTGAAATATCATAGTTAATTTGTAGATTTTTTTTTTTTTGGTACAGTGGTGATCATGACATGCTTATTCCATATGTGGGCACTCAAGAATGGATAAAATCTCTCAATTTGAGTGTTGATTATCAATGGAGACCATGGTTTGTTAATGGCCAAGTTGCAGGGTTGGTTGCTACTTCCTACTTGCCACTATTTTTCATTTTTTATTTATACATGCAATTAGGGGTAAAGGATTTTCTCATACATACATACACTGTCAAGGTGTCATAGGGATTCTAATCTAAGACCACTAGCTAGTCTGCAAGTCAAGATTCTTTTCCACTGGACTAGTACCCGTTGCCACTATCAATTTTAGTTAGTCGCATATATTGTTTCACTATTTTCATAATGTCACAACAATTTCTAATTTAATTAATTATTTTTTTTTTTCAATAGGTACACCAATGCATATACAGGAAAGCGTACAGTTTGACATTCGTGACTGTAAAGGCAAGAACTGGAAATCCTGTTTTAATTCTTCTCAGCTATGTTTCTTTAAAATAAAACAAATACAAAAAAACTAAAATAATGGAAATTAACTTTTGTTTGACGTATGCAGGGAGCTGGCCACACAGCTCCAGAATACAAGCCTGTGGAATGTCTTGCAATGATTGATAGGTGGCTCGCATATTACTATGTTTAATTAGCTCATTCAAGCAACTCCACACCTATATATTTGTATTGAAAATTTGTCCATTTGGGTGATCTCTTGCATTAAAGAAATCCATAGTCGATTTCACCATGAACTTAAGATATTTTAGCTTACGCATTGCAGCTGATAGTACACTCTGCTTCATAATTCGAAGAACTTTCTCCCGATTTATATTTGCCAGGATATATACATATTCAATCTCTTGAACAATCGCTTTTCACATGAGCTAACTCTGTCAAACTCTATTCTTTTCTGAACAACAAAATGTTTCAATTGATTTGTTGAAAATGGTAAACTGATTTTACTAAACAAATGTCATAAATAAAATAGGTAAGGAAATCATATACATCCTTGTGAGAAGAGGGTCTTCTTGTACACTGGCATGGATTGAATCCTTGAACTTGACACTTGAGGATGATTGGAAACCATGGTTCTCTGATCATCAAGTTGCAGGGTTTGTAGTTGTTTTCATGATTTTTTTGGGTTCGGATTTTTATTTTTGAGTTTAGGAATTTCAATGTTTAATACTAACTTTGATCTTTTGTTCTCCTTTTTCATTGATTCATTTTACAGATACACAATGTACTATTCAAACAACGAGTATAATTTGACATATGCGACTATAAAGGCATGAGTGATGGCTTCCAAGTTTATTGATCTTCTCTTTGAAGTAAGTCTAATAATCACTTATGATGGAATAAATAATTCCCAGTTGCAAATGCGCAGGGAGGAGGGCATACAGCTCCAGAGTACAATCCTAAGGAATGCTTTGATATGATCAATAGGTGACTGGCGCATTCTCCTCTTTAACCTAGTATACTAAATTAGAAATATTACTGCATTATACATATGTAATGTTTCACAGTAACTAAAAGTACGTACATGATCACTTATCTGAGTATAATTTTAATCTACAACCTTCAACATGAATACGCGGAAGTGTATGAAAGTTGAGGTGGCATTATTTGCATGCGTGAACCTTGTTTGGCGACATTGTCCACTAAGAATCAATTAGGTGTGAGATTTTATCTCAAAATGTCGGTTTATTAAATTATTTCATCACAAACCTCTATTTTTGTTGGGAAAATTTTAGTGACATACATTATGCATATGGTAGTTGGACACCAGATTATAATGTGCTTTAAGAAATTGAAAGCAACCACTTCGTGGACAACTAACCCATCAATATAAGTTATTTCTGTGAAGAAAAAAAATTACAACTCATGAGCATATATAGCAAATCCAACCCAGAACAGTAGAGCTGAGAAATATCAAGGGACAAATTATAAAGGGGGTCCTTGTATCATAATCGATCATGAACAGAAGCTCCTTTTCTGTAACTTATTATTTCATCAACATCAGCAGCATGGTTGATCTCCACTGCACACCCAGATAAATTGAGTAGGACTTCCAAATTCCAAATGAAGATAGCCTTTTTATTTTGTTCTGTTTTGTAAATTGTCTAAAGCAAGCAAGCAAATGCATGGATCAATAGTACCTTGCTGGACGAGTCTCTGTGAGTAAAAGACACGGAAGCAGCATCGACGGAGAGGTCGGCCGCGTTGAGGACGACTAACCAGATATCGAGCTCGACGGCAACGGCACCGCCCAAATTGCAAGCGGTGCGGTCCGGTTTGAACGTTATGCCGTATCCTTTCGGCACGGCGAATTTCGGCAGCCGAGGCTGGCTTTTGAACTGTTCCATTTGAGAGATTAGAGTTGCAGAAGAGCTCAAAGTGCATCACTCGTTTTCATCATTTTATTTTTAGCAGTGTTCGAAAAATCCGCCTAGGCGGCCTGGGCGTTTCGGGTCCTTTTTTTATTTTTTTATTTTTATTTTATTATATATATATAATTAATTGAAATTAATTTTTAGCAAACAACTTTAATTAAAAGAAATTGATTAGGACTCTGTAAATCTTCTCCTTCCTTTTTCTCAACTTCCCAGGCAATGGTGTCGGGTGAGTTTCTATATCTCACACATACACATGCATACCAGCAATAACTGATCTTTATGCTGTTGGTTACTCGTATGCCTTTGTTGAACTCTACTTAACTAAGCATATCTGCTTCGCTTTTCATGGCAGAAAGACAATTATATCTTCTCTGAGGTTTGGGCCTACGATAAAGCATTAAGAAATGGGTGAGATGCAACAACAGCTTATCAGCTTCATATATACACGATGTTTTCTCTAGTCTTGTTTATCATGAGTACTTCTTCTGGTTATCCTTATGAACATTCATGTTGCATCGACTTCCAATATCATCAATGCCCGACCTGGCTTTCGGGGTGACCTCCCCTTCAAACTTGAAACTGGGTTGGTATTGTTGTTCTATATAAACTTGTGCTTACGTTGTATTGATGTGCAGCTATTTTATTACTTCTTTGAGTCTGAAGGGAGCCCAGAGTATGATCCTCTTGTGCTTTGGCTCACTGGAGGTCCTGGTTGCTCTGCCTTCTCTGGGCTTGTTTATGAAAATTTAGGTACCTTATTATATTTTCCACTCTCTGCATCTTTCGGAGGATTTTATTCTATTTTGAAATTTATGACATTGGTAACGGACCATCAGAAAATATTTTTAAAAGAAAGTGAAGAATTGAACCACAAAAAACAAAACAAAACATGAAGGTGTGTGAAGTAGGTGAGATTTGCAGCGTGAAGGAAGATAGATGAAAAGTATGTGCTCTGTTTTCTCTGTTTTTTGGTTCTGTTTTTTGTGTAGTCTGGGGGCCAAATCACACAAGTAGAAACTACAGAGCAACTAACCTCGCCCAAGAGCCTTAAAACAGGGGAGGGGTCCCATCAAAAGCAGTACATCCCAAATTTTAGTCTATTTGTGTGTATTTCACTAATCACAAATTCTTTCATAAAAAAACTTTAATTACTAGAAAATTAGCCTCACTATTTATTCCATTCTTTGTTGTAGGTCCACTATCCTTTGACTATGCACACATTCCATTGGCAACAAACCAAAATTAAAGTTGAATCCGTACTCATGGACAAAGGTAGGAGACTTCAATTGCCTTCTAGGTGTTTGTGTTTATGTCTTTGTGTGTGATCTTTAGCATTTAGAAGAACAATATCCAAACTTTCAGGTTACCAACATAATATTTCTAGACGCACCGGTGGGCACAGGATTCTCATATGCAAAAAATATGAATTTCTTAGAATGGTGAGGAGGGTACACTTGCCTACGAGGTTAAAGTTTAGTTCATGCTCATCTTTCAAAAGATTAGGAATGGTTTCAAAAATTGACATGATTGGCTGTTGGAATTTAACCTTCCTTTCTTGCATCTAGCTTAGCTACATTGTTGTTTTCAATGTTGTGGTGCAGTGGCTTATGGATCATCCCAAGTTCTACAATAATCCACTTTATATTGCCGGAGATTCTTATTCCGGCATAATTGTTCCTATCGTTGTTAAGGAAATATCAGTTAATAAGTTGGCAACCCTCTTAAATTTGACCTTTTGTCAGTTTCAGCTACCAAGAATTGAGAGAAGGGTCAATCATCCAACCTTTATTTCAGTCTCACCTGCAAATAATATTGAACATTTCATTCTGTCACCTCTAATTGCTCAATATATATAGCTGATGGACAAATAAAGCAAACATTTAGTTTCATGAGGTATTGATTTTAATTTACTTTTATTTTATGTAGGTAATCACAATGAACATGTACCACCAATGAATCTCAAAGTACAATTGCTGCCACTTGATTTTGAATGAGTTCTGTTGTGTTGTAGTTAATTAATTCCTGAATATATGCCAGTGGGCCTAATGTTCTATATATATTGGCTGAAGGGATATGTGCTTGGCAATCCAGTGAGAGATTCTGAAAAGGATGAGAATTCCGTAGTGCTATTTTCTTACCTAAACACACTTATATCAGACGAGCTATACCAGGTGAAATACGCACTGATTTTGTTGCTTCTTGTCGATTTTCATGTAGATATTGGATTCTGGCTCTTCAAATCATTCTGAGCTATTCTGACGTATGATCAAAATATGGCTCCTGTACAAAAGATTGTCTTTCTTAAATGTGGTTATGTTTTTTATGTTTTGCAAGTCGATGAAAAGAAACTGCGAGGGAGACTATATCAATGTGGATCTAAACAACTCGTTATGTGTGAGTGATCTTGAACTTTACAACGAGGTGAGTGGAAAGAAAGAAATCCTTTGGTTTCTGCAAGTGCTTGCCAAATCTAAGTAATGGGATCAAAATACTGACTTATCAAAGACATAAACATTGTACAGATATTGGAATCTTCATGTGCTATGCCTTCTTTAAAATCAGCACGGTCAAAGTGGTATGCAAACGATCTCAGTAATAAGGACTCTGTAAATCTCCTCCTTTCTTTTCCTCAACTCCGTAGGCCATGGTGTTGGGTAAGTCTCTCTGCACTGCACCATGCACGCATACGTGCACACACACACACACGGTGCATACTATATAGCAGTAACTTATTTGTAGGTTCTGGCTTACTCGAAAGTGTTTTTTGTACTAAATGTGAACTTTGAGTCTATATACCTGACTTGTTTTAATGTAGCATTACGATTATATCTTCACTTATATTTGGGCAAATGACAAAACTGTCCAAGATGCTCTTCATATTCAAGAGGTAATTAATTAGTTCATTCACAATATATTCTTCTGGTTTTCATGACATATCACAGTACTTTAAATTTGCTGATCTTATGACAATCAGGGAAGCATTAAGGAATGGGTGAGATGCAATGAGACCTTACAAGATTTATATATATCTGACGTTCCATCTAGTCTTGTCTATCATGAGAACCTCATAAAACAAGGCTATAGAGTTCTGATTTACACAGGTACTATATATTGTCGCATATGCATGCTTATAAACTGTCCAGTTTTCTTTTGTTTTAGTCAAGCAGAAAGTCTTATTTGTCACCAATCCATGGAGTTATAATGGGAGGGAACATTCAAGTACATGAATTGAAAGATAGGCTTAACCTTACTTCTCACATTATCATTTCTTCCGAACACAAAGCTTGTCTATTAACATTGGTGATCACGACATGTATATTCCGTATGTGGGTACTATGGCTTGGATAGAATCTCTGAACTTGACTATTGGCAGTCGTTGGAAGCCATGGTTCGTCAACAGACAGGTTGCAGGGTT